TCAATCGCATTTTTTTGAATGTTGAATGTTTCTCACAGATATCGAGACTCTTGAAATGCTTCACTGTAATAACTGATAAAATTTTAAAGTTACAGTCTCCTAAAACGAAATTATTTGCGTTAATGAAACGCTATTTCTATACAGTGGTCAATAATAGAGTAATTCATCGTTTTTCTTTCTTCTAAATTTAATATTAAACTGATTTTGGCTTAGAAATGGTGATAAACATAATGGCATTTCTTTTTCTAAATTTAATTCGAAGAAAAGGATTTAAATATGCGAAATAAATCTTCAATCAAATTTTCGCGATAATGCAGTTGCAATCTTTCATTTCAGTTTCAAGTCTATTTTTAGAAATTACCCTTGTAACTTTAATTAACAAAATGAAGTTGTACTTAGCATTTTTCTAAATTTAAAGATCATTTATAAAATTATAAACTATTTTACTGAATATGAAGAAAACTGTTTCAAAGCTGCATTTATATTTTTCACTCATGATTAGAATTTGAATGCATTTTTTTTATATGGGAAATGGATGCTAATTTCGATGAAAATAATCTCTGTCACTTTTGAAAGTATTACATATTTAATATCTGTCATTTTTAAGTAATCAATATAATAATCAAAGATATTAACTTGTACGGTTTGATTCGAAAGTTTATTCCATAATTGATTTGTTAATTCATCAAGTCCAAGCGCTTTCATACGTTTGCAATTACGATTAATAATGCACGGACACAATAGAGCTGCACAAATTCGTCGAAATCTACGACCAAATATTGAATAAATAAAAATATTTGAAGCGCTGAAAAATTAAGAAGAATGCTGTAAATTTTTTTCAAGAAAAAGAAAAAAATTAATTGACTAGAAGGATGCAAGTTAGGAAGTACTTTATTTGACTATTTCCAATTTTTTTTATCCAAAAAAAAATAAATAATAATAACACTTCAGTTAATGAGACGAATAATTTTAACAAATATCAATTGCATTTCAAATCTAAATATGAAATCAAATAAAAAATATTTTCAGGCCTATTTAAGATTAATAACAAACCTGTTAACGCATACCAATAAATTTCCAATTGGTAAACGTAAACGAAAAAAATGGGAATATTCAGCAAAGAATGCTTCAATAATATGATTAATACCAGCCATTAAATTACAAGCAATAAATGTTAAAATCATTACAAAAGCCATAAGTGTACAGTGTCGTTCTCCTTCATCCAAATTTCTGGTACGACTTATTAGAAAGCGACGAATACGGTATGCTTGATGTACTGAACGGATAACGATAACATTTAAGACAATCATTGTTGTCCAAGGAATGATAATTAATAGTAATAAATAACCATAAGTATTATATAGAACGATATAAAGGCCGTTAGTACGTAACGGTGTTGGAGTTAAACGACCACATTCATCTAGAGTTAATTCAAACAATGATGGTAATTTATAGACGAATGATACTGTTGCTATCACTGATAAGACCAATTTGGCACGTGATGTTGAACACCATACGCGAGTTTGTAATGGATATTTTACAGCTAAGTACCTGCAAGTCACTTATACTTCTTTAATATTTTCCATTATTTTCAAATTGAATAATTTAATTTTACACATTATAAAATTGATAATAAGCGTTTTTTTTTTCTTAATTTCTTGTACATCATAAATTCCTAACATCTCACTAAACTATTAATTCTTAAAATTCCTACCTCTTAGGTGATAAAAGAAAAGTGTGCTATCAATAGTAATAGTTTTTATTTTTAAAGAACCAAAAAAAAGATCAATAATTAAAAAATTTCTCGTTCTACAATGTATTAAGTTATATGAAATTATCATTAAAATCAAAAAATTAGAAAAAATAATCATGGAAAATCTTTTTTTTGTAAAATTTTACCGATCAACAGTAATAGCCACACAGGTCCATACTGATGATGTTTGTGCAGCAAGCGATATTGGATAACTGACAAGTGTTGTTTTCCAGAAAAATTCACATACTGCACCTTGTTGCTAAAATTTTTAAAATTTTATTTGGTTAAAATTTACTTGAATTTTAAAACAAAAATAAATAAATAATGAATAAACAAGTATATAAATAAATAAATAAATAAGGACTAAATGAATATATATAATTAATTTATCTATAGTATATTCATCAATAAAGCCAAAAAGATTTCATTTCACATTTCAATATGATATCAATATGTGTTATGCCTTAATTTCAATCATAGGATGATGTAACACGATGTTGTTAGCATAATTACATAACTATTGTTAAGCTTAGCTGAGAATGATATACTATGAGTGTCAAGAAATACATGATAGTGTATGCAATATTAATACTAACAATCGATGAAGATCGAATATTTTATTGTTAAATCACGGTTAATATTTAGGGAAATAATAGTTAATTATGAAAGTCTTAGCTGCAAAATTTTATGTAAAGTAAAATTTTTAACGAAAAAATACAATTATTTATGTTTTTTTTTCATTCTCATTAGAAATTTCATAATAGCTGGAAAAATTTTCCCAATAATCCTTACATGAAACTGTAAAAACCTCATGCCTAATATATATATATATAAGAATGATCTCGTAGCTTATTGATTTTATTATACTAACATATAATAAAATTAATAAGCTACGAGATCATTTTTTATCAATATTTTATTGAGTTATAATCATAAAAACATACTTTTAATACAGTCGTATAGTATAAGTTGAATTTTTATCAAAAGCATCAAATAAAATTTCCATTTTTTATCCATTGATGATAAAATACAAAATTTATTCAAATTTTAACTACAAACCTCTTTTAATCTTCTCATTATTGTTTCATTTCGAATACAATCAATCGTTAATCTGCATTTTTTTTTTTCATTTTCAATTTGCCTCATCATTGACATAGACGGTAGAATAAAATGGAACGGATATGAATTAAGTGCAATTTAACAATTGCCTATTTTTATCCAACAACTATCAGAAAATCCACTTATTATTGCATTTTTTTTCTATTTTCTCTTTTTATATCATACATTATAAAATCAAACAAAGCATTATATTTCACTAATAACGCTTACAATTTTTAATTATCAACTTTCTCATCAATTTTTCTTCATACACCAATAAGTTACAAATATTTTTGACGAATAAATGAGCTTTTGTTATTTTATAAATCACAACAACTTCCAATTTTTATCTTTGAATAACTTATGATGAAGTAAATATAAGGATGTAAATTTCATGTGGTGTAATTACTAAGGTTATTACGAAAAATTAATATCGTCTCTGTTTTCTTCTAGACAATATGATTAATGCTTTAGTTTTGGCTAAATCATCCTTCCTCCTCCTTCTTCTCTCTTCCTTCCTTTTTTTGGTGAATTTTTATAATAGCATTATCGATTATGACAGAAAATAATAAAACCGAAAGCATATTTAACAATAAATTGTTAAATTGTAAATGCATTTTTGAGGGTTACATTGTTATTTGCATGTTATTAAGAATGATAAAATTTTCTTCGTTAAAATTTTGCTATTTTCCTTTTTTGTTTTATGAGAAAATTATGAGTGTTGAAAATATCAGAGTATTGAATTTTTAAAGAAAGTGAAAAATGTAACATTTGTGTTTCAACGATTTGAGTAAATAATTGTTAGATGAAGGTTAAGTTATTATGATGAAAGAATGAGCAATTTTTCGTCTGATTTGGTTAAATGAAGCAATAATTGCGAACTTCTTAGGTATACCACTATTGATTTTTATTGGGGAAAAATTTTGAATATTGAAGATTTTCCTCGCATATTTGTGGTTAAGCTTTCCCTTTTTTTCCACATTGCAACATTATTTACATGCTTATATATGTAACTTGTTTATTACAATTAATTAATGTTTTAATCAATCATATTCAAGATTTTCGATTAAATAGACGAAATTGTTCAAGTAGAATCAAAGATTAAAAATCTTATCAGTTCCGAAATAATCTCAAAATTAAAATGCCTAAATGATATAATGGTATAATCCCATTGCATGAAAAAATTGCTTATTTGATACTGTAATAGGATATAGTAATAGGCTACAATAGGATATATATATATATA